AGAGACAGAGACAGGGAAAGGGAGGAAGAGAGAGACAAATATCACTGTAAACAATGAGCAATTATTTTATTTTCAAATATTTTTGCGCCAATTGGAGTGAAAAAAAAAATTGACTTTATAAATGGGTAATGAATAGCGGAGAGAGAGAGGGGGAAAGAGAGAGAGAGAGAGAGAGCAAGGGAAGGATCGACTGAATAAATGAAGAAGCAATTGATATTTGATAGAGTTCAAACTTTAAAATGTTGGAGAAAGTCAGTGTGACTCAATTAGCGGATGATAAAATGAGCAGAAAAGGGAAGAATGTTTTAATTCGAAATGATAGAATGAGAAGAGGGAACAGATGAACAATTGTTTGAAGCTATAATCTCCTCTCACAATAGCTGCCGAGGAAGAATGAAAATTGTAGACAGCTGTTGCACCATCACCACCACCACCACCACCACCACCACCACCACCACCACTACCACTATTCCCGAATGGCGGGCAACCGATAATTCAGTTGCAGAATTTTTATGGGTTTAATTCAAATTTGTTCTAAAATGCATTATTTTGCCTTTTTGAGACATTCTGTGCTTGTTCCCTTTCTCGCAATGGTGGGACACATTGTTGAAGGTATGTAAATTTGAAATATGAACGAGCCTAACAAAGGAATTCTTTTGTTTCGGCAGAGAAGCAAAAGTAGTTTAAACAGAGTTATTTTAAAAAAGAAACAGAAGAAATAATTGCATTTGACAGAATACGAACAGAGGAAAATTGCCGCCTCGATGATTTCAAGCTTTCGGAGGAAGTGGTAAAGTTTTGATGAACATGCAACAAATAAACAAACAATAAGGAACCAGAACTTTTGGTACGAGAGAGAGGGAAAGGGAGAGAGAGAGAGAGAGAGAGAGAGAGAAAGAAGGAAGGATAGAGGTCGATTGACGTGCCAATAATTGGTCCATCAATCACTTCATCATGTATGACTAAACGCCGAGCTAAATAACTCCGCAGATTACACGGGCGTGACGTCAATTCTCATCCGTTCTAAAATGCATGATGATGAGATTTTATTCTACTTAATCAAGAATTAATCAAAAATAATCTTGCCACATTAACATAATTGTATAATTCCGATGATATCAAAAGTAAACATCCTTACATTTTTAACAAAATGACACGCTATCGAAAATTGAAACGTAGCAAAGACTTGGCTATCGAATCCCACTCCACGCATCAACGTCACTTCTACGTTCAGGCATGTAAGAGGAATACGATTATAGTTAAGGCCATTTCAGTTTGCATCATGGATGGATAAAGAAGCTTAACTAAACTCGGTGTTAAATCACCAATTAGTATGGTGCTGATGACCAAACTCTCGATTATTTGCATAATCGAAAAGATCCACTATTTTTCGAATAACGGTAATCGAAGTAATGGCCACTTAGAAAAGCTAGTCCTGGTTTTTCTTTCTAGCTCTTTTTTTCGAATGCATTTCTCTTATAAGACTGCTTAAGAGTTATCCGAAATTCAGGAATTCGGGTCAGAACAAATTTACGAAATTCTTCCATTTAAGCATTCTGGAAATATTAGATATCTTTGCCTTTATTATCCGGTCATTTGGCTCAATAATCTGATTGTATTTCCGGTTTACCAGTTTTTGGTTTTAGATATTAATCTTATAGCTGCTAATGTTCAGGTAATTGCACTCTTTCTAAGGTGAAATTAACAACTCTGCATTTTCTAACCTTTTTTCTCGGACATTCTAGAATACAAAATTATTTTCCAGTATGTGAATCTTACGGTGATCCCATCACTTCTATTCATGTTCTTATGCTAAAACTTTTAGAATGTCAGTTTTTCTGATCCGAGAAATTGTTCGCATTCAATAATCACAAAATATAAGCTCATAATATGTCATATTCCAGGACGATATGGTTGACTACGGTGATGTGTACGACGAAACAAGAGATCAGAACTGGAAGAGTTAGCAGAAAGGTAATTAACTTCTACTTCTACTTGTTGTTTACTGATCAGTTTTTTTCTAATCAAAAAAGATAAAGATGAGATTGATATAATGTTTCCAGGGTTAACATATCTGCCTTGTGGAGTTGAAATATGTCGAGAGTTTAAGGTGGAACAAAATTATGTTATCATTAGCCTGGCCAAAAAAAAGCTATTTCTCCACACACGTATATGTAAACAAATGGATTCATTCGGGTTTTTTTTTTCGAAAAAAATGTCAAAAATTATCTCTTTCCTATGAATATTTTTGATAAGGCACATTTGTCTGCATTGTCTGGTTCTTCGACCAATTACCACTCCTTGAGTAATCATCATAAACGACATAATGACTTCGAATTTCATTTGGTTAAATTTGAAGTCACTGTGTCGTTTGTCTCAGGCTGTCTTTGGGTACAATATCAAATAAAATTCAAAATCTTAACCCAGAAATAAATCAGGTGAAGAGAACAAATCAGCAGTCCTCTCCCCCACAACCCTTATCATACTACGCGACCCGCTATAAACATTTACAAATGCTATTTTATTCTTTCTCTTCTAACAGTAATAGCATTTTATGTACACGTACGCGACTCGCGTAGTGTATGCATTAGCATTCAAAACAGCACCGCTTGCATTTCCAAAAGAAAAAAAAAAAACAGCACAGTTTGTGTATTTACAAATACTAACTCATTAGTGAAAAAATGAAACCAAGGAAAAAGGCTTTAAGAAAAGAGACGGTTACAGGGAGGAGATTCAAGCGATCGGAACGGGAAGTCATTTTTTCTTCTAATATTTGTAAATTTACGAAGAATCTTTTCGTGTGTCTTTTTCTTCCTTTTCATTTTTATTTGTTGTTCAAGGCGTGGGTGTCGATTTTCGGTGACATTTGTGAACGTGTTCAAGGTTATGTCATCTTACTTGATAAACCCTACCCTTCTCTTACCTGGCTGAAGCTCCATCACTGAACAGTTAAAAGTTTCCTATATATATATATTTTTGCATATGTATGCGTGGCTGTACAGTGTGTACAGATGTCATCTGCATGTGCATCTGCATGTACATCTGCATGTGCATCTGCATGCACATTTGCATGTGTGTGTATGTGTGTATGTGTGTGTGTGTGTGCTGATACTTGAAATACCATTCAAAGCCAGTTGACCTCAATAAATGTTAATGCCAAACAATAAAGAATTCGAAAGGAAAAAAAATTGCCGAAAATGGTACTCAATAAATCGCATTGGAAAGAGTTTGAAAAATAAAAGCAAATGAATTAAAAGGTGAAAAAATTGAAATTTTTCATTTATCAAATAAAAAAAAAAAGAAAAGCAACTAATTGTGGTTGTTCGGATCTATTTCACAATAATTTTGGATAGCAAAATCTTAATTAATATTGGCAAATTAAAAGATTTATTTAATTCTTGAGGATAAAAAATAATTTGGAAATATTGGAGTGAAAAAATCATTGCAAACATTTCACGAGAAAGAAATTCTTTGAATATTTCATTTAAAATGATCGTTGATTAAGAACAGACGAATTTTATCACTGATAATAATCATAAAAAGATTAACTTTTGGAATCTTTGTCAATGTTTCATTACCACCAACAAGGAGGAATATCCAGAAGCGTTATTGCACAACTGGATAAGAAGTATATGAAATTATAGCAAACGCTTCAATTTCTCAATATAATTCATACTAAAATAAACTCATTCACAAATTTCATCAATTTTTTTTAAAAAAGATCTAACTTGAAAATGATTATATCACATCTTTTACATTAATATTGAACTGATGGTATTGCAGACAACGGATCATGCACATTTACATACTGATTGCAAGGATTTCATTACTCGTCGGTAAGTTAAAAACGGCGCAGTTGTGAAGAATTAATCTTCAAAATATTATTTTATCATTATAAGCTTATTCAGTAAATATGTCTTTTATGGTAAGTCAATATTACGATGCTAACAGAATGATAAGGAACAAAGAATGTCCAATATCATTGATATCCGATGTCTGCCGGATGAAAAAGCTATGACAACAGGAACGACTGGAATGAAAGTAAAACGTTGGAAGATGAATTATCGGAGGATTCAAGGATAGAAATATAAAATATGGTGCACAGAATAACTTCAATGCACCGTCAGATTCGAATGAAATGCAAAAGGAAAGTAATTTGGAAGGTATGAGCAGAATAATAAAATAAAAATTCCAAAATAAATTGTAAATTTAAAGTCAAACTTTCCAAAATTAATTGTTTTTTAAAGTAATACTGAATGATGAGATAAATGGCTAATTAACAAGGAATGATTAAAAGAAGAAAGCAGAAAGTCAATCGAATAAAATCAAATTATCAGGTAAAAATGAATGTTATGCCATGTTAACCGATCGCAAGGACAATGACCATTAAAAGATATTAATCATATAGGTAAAATGAAGGACGCTGTGAAGAAGAGAGAAAGTCAATGCTGACTGAATATGTAATTTTTCGATGAATTAACAGTTTTAAATTTGATAAGTAAAATTTTTGGAAATTCGATAAATATTTGAATTAAATTAGAATAAAAAATATTATCTCTTTATGAAATGCAAGGATACTTTTAAAGTGTAACGAATGGTTTGTTTTTCGTTATATTTGTATGATTTATTTAAATTTGGCTATACGCAGCAAACTGCAAAAAATAAGCAGAAAGCTGAAAAAGAGAAAATTTTTAAAATTTGTAAAAATTTTGAAAATTTTTTTGAATAAAAATTCAATGATTTTTTTAAACAGTTGAGAGCTTTTTGGTGAAAAATAATTTGAAATAGGACGATTTTTCGTTCAATTTTTATTTTTGATGAAAAAGAAGAATAAAGACAACACGTGCAGAAAAAAAAAAGCAAATCAGCAAGGACGTAAAAACTAGTTCCCTGAATGATGATTCAGTGGTCCATTTTTGATTAGTACGAATTTACATCACTTTACTTAATGCGACATCACGGACGTGCAAGTGACATTTACGCATCGAATAGGACTGACAAAAATTAGAGAAGAATTCCTGAAATGCAATCACTTCTTTACCAGTTGATAAGCATAAGAAATAAGATATTAATTGCATTTCGCATCTTTCAAAATATTTGATTCATCTTTAAGTTGAAAGAAACTATTGTAGCATCTTTTGCAGTGATATGATAAGGCACTAAATCAATGATTGGAAATTAAACAAACTGATGATATTTGCATTATCGATTTGGAGTTTGTTGTCTTGTCTCTTTTTGACTGCAATTGCAGTTGCTAGAGATCAACAATATATTGTTGATCAAAAAGATATTCAAAGCCTTTTGATGATTACTTAATTACAATTCTCGTTCCATCTCATATATTGTAAGGAATTTAAGGCCTAGTTAATTCCATGGGTTATAGAAAGTCATACAATATTGAAAAGTGATGTTACGATGAAGATAATAGATGACAAAAGTATTGCCTACGATACTGAACTATTGGTATGACGAAATTGTTAAGAAATCTTAGCTAACTGTAGTGTACTTCGGCATCAGCAACTGTCGAGAGCCATTAATTCACTTTACAGAAATAAATTATAAATGAAATTTTTCTTTTTTCTAATTTATACTTCCAATGTTTGACAGTGAGCAAAAATATCAGATAAGAATAGTTTTGCCTTTTAAGACTGCCAAATAAAAAAAAAAAAGCACATTCACTTAACTATATGATCTCGAATGATGTACCGAAAATCCGATGCATTTACCAATGTCACAGTTTTGCTATTACGATGCTATCCTCATACTGTATAATATGCAAAAATATAAATGTAATTACCTATTCAATACGTATAATTACTCAACAACATTTTGAAAGAACAAAATTTCAATACATTTGAAAAAAAGAAAAAAATTTAGCAACTTTTCTAATTGTACTTTTACCTTTGTATTCATCATAAAGTATGAGGAAATTATAAATTATAAATTGTGTATGAAATGAATTTTGGAAATTAATGAAAACAAGTAAAAGAAAATATAACGAGTGTAAAGAAAATATAATGAATGAATAAAAAGTTTCTATTGGAACCTTCAATGTTTTAAGTTCATTAAAACTTTTATCTATCAGAAATTATTTTAACGTAACTTTTTCAATACTGAAATCAACATCCGGCTTCAGTTATCTTGATACTATCAATCGGTCATTTTCAATGATTAGTTCGTAAATTGTTTAACAGGAATGCATAATTATAGTAGTTAACCTATTAAAGTTAATTTATCTTTAGCACGTACCTGCAATAAAGTCACATAACATTAATTAGTCTATAATTTAATCACCTTAGATATAAATAAAATCAAAACGTGCAAAAAACCATCAAGAGCGTGTGCATCACCGACGGGATCGGATAGAAATTTTCATCTAATTACTTTCGAAAATTTGGAAACTGAGAAACGATTATTTTTATGATAAAACAGTTACAGTAACCAATTAGTTAGCTTAACTGAATCGGTAAAAATATAATTGTTTTTCAAAGCAATCATGCACATAGAAATGTAATATGGAATTGATTACTTGAACTGTTTTATTTAAATTTTTTTACTTAGAATTAAACTTATTCAAACTGTTTAAGAACTGATTACTTTTCTATAATAAAAAGTAGCTTTATCATCTAATCTAACTAACTGATCCGGTAAGATAACAGAACATCTTCCATTGGCATAACAATATGGTTTTCATAAATTAATCAAGTAGCAGATAACTGAAAATTAAACTAATTGCACAGAGATGGAAAATTTGAAAAGTAGGAGAGTGATTTTTCCGGAAAAATTGATTTCCTGAAATGTTCCATTTTCCGTACAACATCGTTAATATCTCACAAAAGTAAAAATAGCGCAATGGATAATGCCACGCAAGCGCTTATTTTTTCGTCTCATCAAAGGAATATAAATTAAATTCTTGAATGTTGCAGTTAAACAAAATTCATTAAATAATTGCAGTTAAAATCGTCTTTCAATTCATTCGATAATGGGAATATTGACAAATTAGCGAATGCTAATCAGCATTATACAAACCTTTCCGTCTTCTCGTGTCAGACTGAATTGTTATCAAAGATAACAGAAGATGAAATACAAATGTCGAAACCTTTCGCTTCGCGTCATATCGTCTCACAATAATGCCAAATTGTCAAATGTCTTAAAATACCTAAAAAACAGTCTCCACCTGTTAAAATACCCAAAAAACAATCTCCATCAGAAAATTTTCAAACATTATTATTTTTAGGAGTTACATCCGTCGTAGAATGACTTAATAATCATCGTTTGGATGTGAAAAATAGGATGATTGAGATTTGGAAACACATTTCCACGAGCAAAGTGATACTTAGCGCCATAAAATCATTAACTAATTATCTGATATTAGTTGATATTATCACTGTATAAAAAATATGAATTAAAAATGACTTAGGCGGAAGAAGTAAATATTCAAATATAGGCCATTCACATTATTTTGTTGTTGGCACATCCAAAACGCAATTTCCTCATCAGCAAAATATTTCGATTATGTAAAAATAAAAAAAATTTGGTGCGACGAAATAAACATTCCATTTTGGGATATTGAAGAAATGACTTGAAGTGAATGAAAGATAAGGGATTGTCGTGGGAGAGAAAAAAAAAATGGGATTTAACTACTGATTTCAAAAACTTTTCAAATTCAAAAACCTCAAAAAATTTATGGAATGTAAAAAAAATAGCCTGTCCATTCATTTATCTATCCATTCAATTCGTTCGCTGTATTTCACAATCAGCATCATCACAATCATCATCATCATCATCATCACCACCACTACCATCACTATCATCATCATCATCGCCATCATCATCACCACCATCATTACCATCATCAAAATTTATAGCTATCATCATTGCCAACAAAACGAATGATAAAAGCTTCAGAAGAAAGAGCTAAAAGGGTGAAGAAAAAGATTTCAGCAAAATTTCAAATGGAATTTTTTAATACAATTTAACTTTATTCGGTTTATCGGTTCACCGATTATCAACGATTCTTTGATAATTATGAGGATGTCAGGTGAGTGTAAATATCAACGAAACATCACTGATAAATACATATCAACGAAAAACGCCAAAAGATGACTTCTTTTGACAAAATCATTATTTAAAAAAATTGAAATAATTTTTGGATGCTGTATATTAGAATGAAAATAATTGTTATCATGTCAAAAATGGAAGATTACATTATACCGCTTCTTCATCCTAGCTTATTTTTCAAAGCTAAGCGCTTAGGCTAGGAATCGTAGATCAAAGGCACATAGCGGGCACATCGCGGGTAGTTTTCCATTTTTCTTTTTTTTTTTTTATGTCATTCTCTCTCCTCTTCTTTTTCATTTTGCATTTTCGAAATCGGCATGAAGCTATCTCGTTTATCTTCTTGGATTAGAATTCGATTAACCAGTTTATTATTAAGTACAGAAAATTAGTTAATGTTTAACTAGAATAAAATAAATAGATTCCAGACCACTTCATATATCTTTTAATTATCAATATTTCAATAAATTTAGTATTAGAAGAAGAAAGGAGGGATAAGAAAAATTATCGTAGTTAAAATGTTAAAGATCATTTATGTTTGAAATTCACATTTGGAAATGCAAAAATTTTTGTTGAGATATTCAATGATTGAATCGGAATGATTAGCTTTAAAATGATGTAAATGAGCAAATAAGCAAAATATATGAAATAAAATGGGTAGACATTTTAAAATATTTTTTGAAAATGCACAATTAATGATGATATCGATCACTTCGCCTTCCATCGATAGACAGCCTATCCGATGAGCGGATAAATAATAAATGGATAAATGGCTGCTGATCGGCAACTGTTCTCGTAACTGTCGCTTCATCCTACACATACCACACCAACCAAAAAGTCATTTGTTAAAAGTTCAGATTATTTTTACTAAATCTACGTGTACTTAGTATCCTTTTCACGCAGCAGTAGCGTAAAATTCGTAAAGATTAGTTTTTTTTTATTTGTTACAGAACGTGTTTTTCGACATGGAAAAATCATTTTTTTGTATTCGCGAACGGATAAGTGTACTCTTGGCAAACGGGTATTATCACTAGGAAAAGCATAGATTATAATATTGCTAATAAGGTCAAACAAGGTTAATATATAAGCAATGATGAATTAAACGTTTATTTTATCTGATAGTTTAATATGACAAATTAACATTTAACAAAAATAATAACAGATATTTTTTTTTTGCACCATTCCTGACAGAAGATAGAAAGGCGGAGAAGTTAATTATCAACCGGAACAAAGAATGTCAATTTGAAATTCATCAACTTATAGGCAGAAGTAATTTTAAATGATTTCAAACGCTTCTCTTTCTTCACTGACAAAATCACACTGCTCCACATAATATGGACATTTTTTTGTCAAAGAAATTTAAATTTTGCCGGAAGAAAAGATCGGTTAGGATTGTTGTGATGAAGAAAAATGATGGAGGAACAAAGCTTCATTTTTCGTTTGGCTTTCAAAGATAGCTGAAAGAAAGAGAGAAAGAGAGAGAAGGAGAAGAAAAAAGAAGAAAGGAAGGAAAGAATAGATGAAATTGATGAAAGGGAAGGAGAAAGCAAATCATTTTTTTTTATTTGAATTAACAATTTAGCAATGACTGTTGTTGACGAGTATAACTACACGATGTGGCCAGTATTTTTTCATCACTGTAACTGATTGATAGCCTAGTGGAATTGGACTGGCCAAGATGGTACTCATACCGGTAAATTGGATGATTGAATAATCTTTTATTTGCATCCGTTAATCTGTTTTATTCTCTCTTCAAATGTATTTCAAATATGGCTAACACACACATACACACAAACACACGCAATTTTTTTTTTTTCACGAGACAAGTCTCGGAAGGAATTCACGGTGCTAATTTTTATTTAACTTAGAGTGAGATTTTAGTATGTCTCCGGAGAAATTTTGAACATGAATTTCCACTGCAGCAAAATAAAATGAAAATTGGAAAAAAAAAAACTATAAAATAATGAAAATAATTTGGACAATAATCAATAGCTAAATGGATTAGGACCATATTTCGTGCAAATTAAGAATGCCTATTAGATCTCAGATTAAACGATCAAATACTATCTGAGGTGTATGAAGCACAAAAATAAATTATGGTAAACAAATAAAGACAACTATCTTTACGAGCATTCATTCAGTTCATTTGAAAAATCCTCCGCTTATAGCAATTATGAATTCTATAATAATTCTTGAGTATTTACCTCCGTTAGATTACTGTTTGAAAGCTTTAGATATAACATAGCTTGTTAGCAATATTTTCATTGTTTACTAATTGGTTCTTTAGAAGAAACTTCTAAAAACAGCGAATATATTCAATTATCGACAATCAGTATGTTCTGAATACCATATTAAAGTTAGCATGAAATTTCTAGAATTACACGAACATGCCGACATCTATGGCAAACAAGATAAGTAAGATCGAATGCTAATCTTTCCAGTTTCAAAATCTCTGTAATCTCTGTAAACAGATTTTTTTCTCTTTCTCTCTCTCTCTCTCTCTCTCTCTCTCTGAATGTTGATTTAAAGCTATAAAAATTTCGAAAAAAAAGAACTGGATGGTTGGATTCTCGAATTGTAGCAGCACCTAATCTATTATCATTTTTTTCGCCAAAGTCTATCAATACAACTTCCCCTATTCTCTTTCAATCTTTGCTCCAATTTTTCTTTTCCTTTCACCCATAAAGTTTATCACCTCCATCGATAATTTAAATTTCGATGCAAAAAAAGAAAAATGAATTCTTTTAATTTTGATTATATTAAAATGTAGTAATTTCGTATGACTTTTATTTTGCAAATTGATTACATAACTAAACTGATGTGATTTTTTTTCTCTCCTCAATCAAAAATCCCGAATGAAAAACGCAATCTAGAAGTCTGAACTTTAAGATTAGAATTAAAAAAAAATTCTAATTTTAATCATTGCCATATAAATTGGATGATGGAGAATTTAATCAAATGATTAATAGAAGGAAATTTTAGTTTTAAATTTCTCAATGAAAAACAAAAAGAGAATTCATGTGACCTTATAAGGTCTTGTCTGGAAGTGACGGCACAAACATCCATCCATATTACAATCGCGGACAGAATAATGATTTATTTTATCAGAATGTAAACAACAGATATCACTAAGCAGTGAGCGCTCCATTAGCATTGTTGTACATTTCCGCTCAGAGCTATACTGTACATTTCCGCTCAGAGCTATGTTATACATTCCATTCCATTCTTTTTTTGCGACTGATTTCTTTGCTGAAATTACGCATGCACACACACACACACACACACACACACACACACTTATCTATGATCAGAATACAATTACGGAAAGATGACTGTACGAAATAAATCACTAACAAATTCGATATTGATTATTTGATAGTAAATATTTCACAATGTGAAATTCTTAAAAAATAATCTTCGAAAAAAAATTTTCACAATGGCAAATGATTTAAAAAATTACATGAAAATTTGTACGTCAAAATGATGTAAACATAAATAACCAAACATTGACGATAAACATTACGAAAATATATGTAAATAAATTTGGGATATTTGTCTGTATGGAATGTTCAGAGAAGAATGAAAATGTCCTTGAAAAGTGAACAAAAATTTGAAAATATAAAATTAGGAGTAACGATGCAATGATGGGGGAATTGGTAAAGTGATAAGGAGAGAGAGAGAGAGA